TGATCGATGTTTCTCTCTCATCAATGTCTCTAACTCTCTATCCCTCTTCCCTTCCTCCTGTAAAAAAATCAATAAAATATATTTATAAAAAACAAAACGCTCAATGCTGTCCACAGGAGACAGTCGCTTCTCCAGCCCCCTTGTCCAGTCGCCCAGGAAGGTGGGCCCAGTGCTGCCAGACCTTGTTTTTTAAAGAAAAGCTGGAAATCTAGATTTTCATGAAATTCTCGGGGTTCCTAAACATCATCAAGACATTTTTTTAAAAAGAAACAACTCCCTGAGTTGGGTTGGCTTGGTCAGCAGTAGCACGTCTGTCAACAAAGCCTTTCAACCCAGACAGCGAGGGTGGCCTCCTCTGCTCCCACTTGGGTAGAGGGCAGAGGGCTGACTAAGCAGGGCCCACGGTCACCCAGAGCCTGGGGGTGAGGCCAGAGTGAGCACCCAGGGCCAGGGGTGAGGCCAGAGTGAGCACCCAGGGCCACTTCAGCATCTCTCTGGCCACAGGGCAGCAGTGCCTGCATGACCGGTACCAGGGGTGGGCACAGCTGCGCCGGCAGGGCCTGCGCAGGGCCGCGTTCCAGAGCTGGCAGCAGGCGGCAGCTCATCAGAGACACAGGATGGCCAGGCCAGAGCGGCTCGCACTGCAGAGGTGGATGGGCCTGGCAGCGGGAGGCAGAGGGTCATCCCCGCCCCGGGAAGAGCAGGGAGAGAGCCCATGGGGATGGGAGGCTGGGTGGCCCCTGCAGCTCTAGGGGAGTCCCCGCTGGAGGCCTGGGACCTGGGAAACTGGGGGTGGGGTGGGGTGTGAAGGGAGTCCCTAGCCTGTGCTGTAGAGCCATGACCACCAGCCTTCACTACCTGCTTTGTGCGGAGGTGAGGCTGGCAGGCCCCTCACCCCACATCCCCTCGCCTTCCTGGCTGGGTCGGTCCTTTGGTGTCAGAGGATACGACTGAGATGGAGAGATGAGCTCCTCAGACACCCACCATCATCGTTGTCCCCGCACCGCGTGTTTGGGGGGCCAGTACAGGGGGCCTCTGTACACAGGGGCCAGACAGAGGGGCTGGCATCTTAAATAGAGATGCTCCAGTAAAAATGCACTTCGTTCATTAATGCCACCAGAGAGCAGAGGGCACAGACGATGCCCGCTGTGCAGTTACAGGCTCACCCTTGTCCAGTGTCCCCACAGCCAGCGAACACCGCTGCAGGGCGGCTGACCCCTGTGCTTTCGCAGCTGAAGGCTGTGCCCTTCAGAGTCCCCTCACTGACCCCCTGCCCCAGAGCGGGCTTGTGAGGGGAGGCAGGGGTGGCTGTCCCAGGGGATCTGGGACTTGAACCACAGCTGCTGGGCTCCCTCAGGCTCCTGAGCAGCATCTACCTCGCCCCGAGTATGTGCGCCCCAAGGCCCCGAATGAAAGCTGGCACTTTCCCCGTTACACGTCGGTCCCTACGTTTTTAAGGCACAGGGTTGTGTATGAAACTGTGTGTAACCTGTAAGACTTTGGGGGGAGGGGGATGTGGGTACCATTTGGAATAAATGTGACTTGTCACTGACAGCAGCTGGGCCCTCCTCTGCTCCTGTTTTGCAGCCATTTCCAGGCCTGGTGTGGGTTTGCGAGAGACGCGGGGACGCTCCGAGCCTGGTGTCGAGCTGGCCAGGCTGGCCTGAGAAGACGGGCACTGGGAGCCGCGTTGGCTGGGCCAGCGCTGTGAGGCCCGCCAGCAGGCAGAAGGGAGAGCTCGGGCCCAGACCCAGCTGGCCCTGTGCTGGACTCTGTGGGTGCATGAGTCCCGCCTCCACCGGCTCAGCCGAGCCCACGCTGCCCGGAAGCTGAGCGCCAGGTGGATGCCCAGGGCCCGAGGGCAGGCCCTCACTGTGCTTCCAGCTGGGGCCTGGAGTTTGTTTGGGGCAGGGGAGAGGGTGTTTGGTGGCTGGTGCCAGGGCTTGGGAGGCTGGGGCTGCCAGGGAGAGGCGATTCTGGTCATGGCAGCTCATCCTGGGCCAAAGCCCAGCTCTGCACTCCCCAGCTGTGTGACCCTTCTTGGGCAAGTCTAATTTTAAAGGTCAAAGAAAGATAACAGAACTGCTCTGCAGGCTGGCGGAGAAATTAGAGATAACGAATGTAAACATTCAGCTCAGGGCCAGACACAACATAGCAGGTGCTCCATAAACCCGGGTTCTTGTGAGGACAGGGGAGGCAGCGTAACTGGCAGGACTGTCCTTCCTCTGAACAGGATGCTTGTCCCTGTTGTGCGATATTCTGCGGCTCTCTGTGCCCAATTAAACCTGTTTGCTCCAGGAAAAGGTGGGGGTGGGGGGGGAGCAGGGCTGGGGGCTTTGCCTGGAGGTCCCCTACCATAGGCACTGGCCAGGGCTGGGAGGGCTCCCTACGCTGCCATGAAGCCTGGTGCTGATGACCTTGGTATGGGCTCCTCCTCTCCCCCCAGGGTCCTAGAGGCCTGGGCCCAATCTGCCGCCCAGGGTCGTGTCCAGCGGGTCGCCATCGCCCGGTTCGAGGTGGTTGGGCACAGGCAGCTCCTGCGGACCCACTGGGCCCAGTGGCGGACAGAGCTGCTCGGCGTGTGGTTGGAACCTCGGATGGAGGCCCAGGAGACGAGCACCGCCCATCCCAGGCCCAGGGCCGACCTCACGCACTGGCCCGGGCTGGCCGGCAGAGGGCGCCTCCTGGCGCTTATGGGCCCTGCAGCCCCATGGAAGCAGGTGAGGTGGGGTCCAGGTGAAGTTGGAGGTTCAGAAATGACCAGAAGGCCAGTGGCTTCAGAATCGGCTTGTTTCAGCCCGTGGTGGCAAGCGTGGCCGGATGCTTCCCCAGGGGCCAGCAGCCTTGGGGACACCACCCTCCCTAGCCCTTAGCCAGCCTCTGGCTCTGGAAGACAGCCAACCCCGGTCCATCGGCAAACATCTCCTGGACACCCACTGAGTGCCAGCCCAGCTCAGGCCTGCTGCAAAGATGAATGCTGGGTCACCGTCTATTAGGCACCCAGAGTCATATATGTCGTGGTGCAGGGTAGCATCAAGACAGACATATGGGGACAGTAGCAATTCTTTGTGGTTCTTTTTCTTATTGAAAAATGAAACATGCTCATTACAGGAAAATCAGAAAATGTGAATGAGAAAGTTTTCTTTCATGATACTCTCTGCCCAAAGAGAGCTGCCAGACCTTCTCCAATCAGCAGCAGTTAGTTCTGAGACGAGCAAGCTTGAGGGCCTGCAGGAGGGAAGAGGCTGCCGGGAAAGCCAGGCAGAGAAGTGACGCCATGCGGCGTCCAGGCCTGTGTCATTGCGGGACGCACAGCCCAGAGTTACCGGCAAGGCCAGTGTCCTGAGATGAACTGCATCACCAGGAATCCTGTGTCAGAACGCCGGGAAGTAGCTAATAGACTCGAGAGAGACCGAGAAGAAAGGGCAAGTGGTTTTTTTAATGGAATGGAAAGGTACTGGCGTTGGATACTTGCAGAGTCCACATCTTCTATGTGGGGCTGCGGCCACAGCAGATTCTGGGGGCTCGAGGTATTTTATTCCTAGTTCTGTGCTACAAGACAATTCTATTTTCAGAGTATGTTTATAAACACGTTCACCCATTCCTGTCAGCAAAGGCAGGCAGGCACCCACTTACTGGTGGAGAAACTGAGGCTGGTAGAAGCTGGAAGTCAGTGCTGGGAATGATAACAGGGGGGCTGAATTCCAGGCCCCTCCTTTCTACAACATGCACACACACGCCCAGGCAACCCTCACCTAACATCATGAGCGGGGATGATGCCATCTCCTGGTGGCACTGGGCCCCTGAGGGAGCCTGGGGTCTGTAGGAACAGTAGCTGGGGGCTCCTGAGAGGGGTGGCCTCAGCCAAGTGACTTCACTTAGTCGACTTTAAGTGGGAGAGTAACACCCGCCTCACAGGCTGTACCTGGCGCAGGGAAGCTCTCGCCTGTGGTAGCTATTATTGATCCACCCGCTGCTTGCGCCTCCAGCCACATGGGAGGACGGGGGAAGAGGCAGTGATGTGTGCTGACGCCCATACTACACTTGGGCACCTTCTCCGTCTCCTCTGGGAGCCGCAGGGCTCACGGGAGAATGTGCAGTCCCATGAACGAGCCCACGTGTGCTCACCCAAGTAGGAGGCCCCAATACGGGGTCAGAGCAGGGTCAAGCCCATTGGGTTCAGGTTTTCCTCTCTGGCTGTTCTCATAGACCCGAAGCTGCAGGCCACAGGGCACGGGGCCCAGGCTGCCCAGCCCAGCACAACATCGCAGCCCCGGTGGGCAGAGGAAGCGGAGAGAAACGTCCTGGGCTCAGAGTAAGGAGACCTGCCCCTGTGCAAGGACGGTGTACGAAGTGCAGGGGTGACGGGTCACCGGCCCTTCAGGGCCCGGAAATGAGCTCCGAGCTCCTGGGCGAATCCATTGTATGTATTTCCCTGTATTTCCACCACCCATTTCCTCTTCAGGAATATCTCAGCCATTTTCAGAAAACAGTACATCCGCCCTGCCTGCCCCACCTGTTACTTCTCTTGGGCAGCAGCCCGGGGCCTGGAGGCGTGGGTGGACATGGGGCACACGCTTCACTCAGCCCCTTTTGCCGCTCACCCCTGTTCGTGCGCTCAGCCTCTGGGGTGGGCTAAGGGGGAGTTGGCCCCCCTGAATGTTAGCCTTTTCTGACTCGATTCCCCTTTCCAGGCCACAGTGCCGGCCAGCTCTGGATGCAGAGGCCTGGACCCAGGGCCCAGGGCTGGCCCCCTTCAGGGCCCGGAGGGGACTGCAGCTCTGAAGGCCAGGTGGACAAGAGGCGGCTGGGGTAAGCAACTGCATGGAGAAGTGGGTGGGGAGGGGGCCCAGGGCGGAGGGGCCTGAGCTGTGGCCAGGGCTGGGCCTCTCTGGCCAGCGCTCGCCCCTGCAGGCTCCTGGAGGAGCGGGCCCAGTCCACGGTTCAGCCCTTTCTCCTGGCCGTCAAGGGGTCATGATGTTCTTGACTGTCAGTCGGGATGCACACAGGGCCTCTCTCCCCAGGAGGAAATACCTGCGACGCTGGCGCCTGGAGGCCCTGCTCCACCGGCTCCAGGGCTCCCAGCAGGCCAGGCGCCTGGCAGGGACATGGCAATGCTGGGTGGATGCTCAGGGGGCAGAGGAGCTGGCGCGGTCGCTGGTGAGTGGGGAGGGGCCCTCACACCAGCCTCTCATGCTATTCTCAACCCTAACCCCTACAATGAAGTCTTTCCAAGTATGGCCTTTGGGCCTACTCAGTCTGAAACCTGGGACAGGCCCAGGAATCTGCACTGTTCACACACCTCGTGGTGTGTGGCACCCTCGTCCTGGTGCCACAGAGGGCCTGGGGGCCGCGGCGAGCACAGGTGTTGTTCACACACCTCGTGGTGTGTGGCACCCTCGTCCCGGTGCCACAGAGGGGCTGGGGGCCGCGGCGAGCACAGGTGCCCAAGGCAGCAGTCGCCCAGTGTGGGGCCTCCGCACCCTGTCCCCACAGCTCAGGCAGTGGCGGCTGAGATGGGTCTGGCGCACGTGGCGGCGGCGGGTCGTACAGCTGCGGGTGGCTCTGCGATTACAGCAACGAGCTGAGGGCTGGGTCCTTTCTCAGGTACTGGCGGGGCAGCCCCAACCCCCAGCAGGCCCTTCAAAAGCCAGCGCCTCTGAGCTGCAAGCCCTCCCTGGGCCCCTTCATTTGCAGGGGAGGGTCAGTGTGGGTAGAGAAACCAGCTTGGATTCGGGAGCCCTGGATATAGCTGGTGGCCCTGTGCCCAGCCCGGTCCTGCCCGGCACTCCCCGTATGTGCTCTGAGCATAGCTTCCCAGGTCACAGGTCCGTTCTATTCTGAGCCTCTGCATTTGGCCGGGGGCAGGGTCGGCTGCCTGCCCGCCTAGGGCAGAGGGAGGGACCTCTATTCCCCACGGGACCGAAGGAGCTGGGCACAAACAGCACAGGCCTGGGAGGGAGCTGGAGAACCTCTCCTTCCCCTCCGGTTCCAGGCCTTTGAGAAGTGGCACCAGAAGCTGGCAGCCAGGGGCCTGAGGAGGGGCCACCAGCAGGTTGAGACCCCAGAATAAGGTGGGCATCGAGCCCAGGGAGCACCCCCTGCGTGTGGCGGACTCGAGGTGGAGCAGGGGCCCGCTGAAGCCGGGACTTGTTGCCATGGACAGAAAATGAGAATGGAGCCCAGCCTTCCCAGGGAGGAACTGTGCCCCCACCCCCTTCCAGGGAGTGCAGACTGGCAGGCCGCGGGGCGCTCAGCCCACCGAAGAGCCCTGGGAGCTCTGAATGCCAATAAACTGCCCTTCTTGGTCCCAGCTGCTTCTCTGGCTCCCAGCAGCCTGGACGGACGTGGAGGGGATGTGCCCACAGGCTGCTCTTTGGATGCCCCCCACCCCCACCCCCTTAAGCTCAGGCAGGGACGGGGACAGAAAAGAGCCCACGTGCACCTGCCAGCCACCACCCTGGGCAGCGCAGCTTGAGGGCCGATTCCTGGGGAGCAGTGCCAGGCAGACAGATTCCGGATGCGCAGAGGGCGGAGCAGCTGGCAGGAGGAGGTCCTGCCTGAACACTAAGCCAGGAAAACAGAAGCCCTGCTCGAGTGACCTCATGTGACCTCGCCTTTGCCCTCGGTGGTAACGGGCAGCAGAGAAAAGGGAAGGCGGAGGCTCCACCAGGCACAGAGATCAGACAGCTTGAGCCCTGAAGAGGGACTTTATCTCTGGCGCCACCAGAATAGAGACAACTGCTCCCTAAAGCAGCATGGCGGAGGTGAAGCCCTGCGGGCCCCAGGGAGGAGGCGGCTTGTATTATTAGGTTTCAGCCCCAGACCCATCCGGGAGCCTGGTGCCCAGGGTAGTGTCTGCCCTTCAGTTACAAGTAGGAAGTGCCCAGCTGCCAACGTCTCGGAGGCAGAAGGGAGCAGCATCTTCACTCTGCCGCAGCGTGCCTGCTGCCCGTGTGTGCTTTGCCCGTCTTCCATAGCCCCAAGTGCAGGGTCACCGGCAGTCTCAGGCTGGCTCTGAGAGGCTGCCTGGTGCCAGGGCCCCGTCAGCCATAACCAGTCTCCTCCCCTTCTCAGGGAGGATGGTGGTCCACCCACCGTGGTCCTGGGCGGATGGAGGTGCTCCCCACAAAAGAGCAAAATCTCCCGGCCGAGCAGGGAACACCAGGTCCCGTGTGGGGCTGACTCAGGTCCAGCCAGAGCCCGGAGCCTCACACCAGCGTGGCTGCCGTTGTATGTGAGGGAGTGTAGGAGCCCAAGGATGTCAGGGTGCAGGGTCACAGAGCCTGTCCCCTCTCGCTCCGGGTCTGTTGAGAAGTTCAAAAGTGTCGATGTAGGAGCCTAAGGATGTCAGGGTGCAGGGTCACCTCTCGCTCCGGGTCTGTTGAGAAGTTCAAAAGTGTCTTCTACCACCTGCCACAGGCAGTTGTCCAGCGGAAACTCGTTGTCTACCAGGTTGACGAGGAAGTAGTTGTCGTGGATGTACTGGATGATCATACGGGACGGGGACTCCTCGTCGTACAGCTTGCCCCACTGCTTCACCCACAGGGCGAAGGCTTCATCCTGTACGTGCACACGAACAGGCACAGGCGCAGGCGCAGTCACACACAGACATACAAGTGCAGACAGGCATAGAGACGCACAGGTGCAGACACAGCCACACAGGCACGGTGAACAGGGCTGCCCTTGGGTCAGGGCTCCGTGCTCAGCGCCACAAGAGTCTCTGCCACAGCCCAGTAGGACCTTCCCGGGAATAGAACAAGGCCCACTGCGGGGCCACCTCCCACTCCCCAGCCCAGAAATAAGCTGTGGCTCAGAGTGAGGGTACAGCCGGGAGGGCCTCGCTGGCCAACCCTGGGGGCATGGCTTCCAGCCACTCTGGGACCCAGCAATCCTGCTTGCCAGGTATCCCAAGTGGGCAGGGCAGGCTCGCTCCCAGCCCCTTACCTTCCAGAACATGAAGCTGACAGGATCCACCACCGTGGGCTGGATGATCTCTCGCCCAGGGAAGATGCCCCAAGTGACAGCGTTGGGCTGCAGCTCAGGGGCATTGGTGATGTTTTCACCCTGGGGTGGGAGGGGAGGTAGGAGCAGACGGGACAAAGCCAACCAGAGCCCCCTGGTTGCCCAGGCAGCTCTCTGCTCCACACTCTCCCCATGCCCTCCCCCCAGCTCTGTGAGCCTGAGACTTAGAGGCCACACAGAGCACTTCCTCTTCTCTCGCTTCAATCAGCTCTACACCCAGCGGTTCTGCCTGCTTCCTCTCCACTCTGCTCCCTTGGGTCTAGCCCAGGTGGGCCTCTTTGCTACTCAGACAAGGGCCTCTGACTCTAGTGTTCCCGGGCCCATTCGTCATCAGCTGTCCACTGTGACCTGCCTAAAATAACACCCGGAGCCAAGTCGGCACTGCTTAGAAAGGCTCCCTCCTGCCTCCAGGGACCAGGGAGGCCCCTGAGCCCCTGCTCAACACTTTAGCCTCGCGCTCCGCAGTAGGCGGTGACCCACTAGCTGTAGACGCTGCCTCTGCACACCCTGCCCTTCCCCAGGAATGCCCTTCCCTCCTTGTCCTGAAGGATTCAGGCCACAGAGGACCCTCCAAGAAGCCTCCGTGACCTCCCAGGTTAAGTGCCCCTCCCCTGGGTCCCAACATCCTTACTGAACTGAACTGTCCCTTATCCACTGACGGGCCTCGCTCACTAGGCTGGGAGCTCCATCTGCCCGGGGCCAGTGCCTGCTGAGTGCGGGAGTGACCGTGGGTGCCCTCGGCTGGCAGCTGCCCCGCTGAGCACCTGTGCGTGGAGCTGGCCTACCTTCACGTCCACGATGTGGTAGTTCACCCGCTGCTCGTACTTCTTCAGCACCTGCAGGAGTGCCCCCACCGTCTCTCGGGAAGTGAAGAACTCCAAGTAGGCCTGGGGGAGCAGGCGCCCGTCACCCCCGGTCCCTGCTGGCCGCCTTCTCGGCGCTCAGCAATCCGGTCGGATGCCCCCAGGGAGGACCCACGCGCACAGGTGTGTGGGACACTGAAGACAGGGGCACTAGTGGTGGCCACCGGATGGAGTCTGGAGCAGGTGGTGAGACTTCCCAGCTGGCCAGTCTGCGGGACCTCTGCCAGCCCGCCTCCCGTTAGGCAGGGAGGCCCCCGGAGAAGCCACCGTAAAGATGGCGAGGAGGCCAGCCCCATCCCACCCGCCCCCTCACTGGAGGTGACAGTGACTCTACTGGCTGCTCTGGCACCAACTGGATCAGAGATTGAGCTGGGCTTACGTTGTCACTTGCCGTAATGCCCGTAATACTGCAGGGTGGGCCCTCTCAGCCCCATTTCCCAGATGAGGCAAGTTCAGGGAAGGTGAGGACCTGGGCCCACTGGTGATAAACAGCAGAGCTGGTCTCCTCACACCGGGGTCGTTCTAATCAGGGCCCAGGGGTTCAGTGTGAGTGTAACTCTCACTCCAGCTGCCCAGGGGAGAGGTGGCAGCTTGGAAGAGAAGCGAGTGCTTCCTGTTCCTCCCACTTGCTAAGCTGTACGTGCCTTGCCACGCCTCCTCCCCACAACATGGGGTGATCCGTCCCACCTGAGAAGGCGGAGGCTCGGAGCGGTCAGGGGACCCCACCCAGGGAGCTCCCGTCCACCTTGCTGCTCAGTGAAGGGCCCAGAGAGGAAGGCTTCCTGTCCCCATCACCGGGGCTCCTGGGAGCCAGTCAAGCTGGGGCGGCCCTGGGCCCCTGCACACCTTCTGGAAGACATAGCCCCCGCTGGGGCCCCAGCCCACGACCGGGTCAGAGGACGGCTTCCCATTGATGTTGGGCTGGGAGTTGATGGTGAGGATGCCCTGCCGGTTCACGCGCAGCAGCTCCTCCTTCATCAGGCTGGTCTCGGCCGCCAGGGGCTCGTCATTCCAGGGCAGGCAAGTGACCTGGGAGGGGGGAGCCGGGCCGGGCTGACCATCGGATCTGGTACTCTGGGCGCCCCCCTCTCGGGGGCCCCTCGAGACACCCAGCCTGTCTCTGCCTCTGTAAGCCCCTCCCAGGCCCCCCAGCTGGCGACTTCCCAACTCACCCTTCTCCCTGGGCTGAGGTGCCACGTCCAGAGCAGAGAGAGGAGGCTGAGGGTGGGCAGGCCACAGGGAGACGGGGCGGGGGTGTAACCAGGGACCCCACCGAGCACCACTCACTTGACGGCCGCTCTGGTTTGGCTCCCCCGAGAGGTAGTGGACAAAGACTTCAAAGACACTTTCTTCACTGGTCAGCTCCTCCCCCCACATCTTCAGCAGCTCCTCCCTCGGGGCCTTGCTCGTCAGGTAGAAGAGGTAGTAGTCCTTCAGCTCCCCGAAGGCTGGCGAGGAGGAATGGCCCCTGCAGAGGACGTGCCCCGCGGTCAGGGCACAGCCTCACCTCGGGCTCCTCACAGGAGGACAGCTGTCCCACACACCAGAGGTCATTCTGTGACTCCTGTCCCTCCAGGGCAGAGAAACATGCCAACTCCTGCCTCCTGCCTCCTGCCTCCCCGAGAATAGGACCTATTTGCAAAGGACAGTCTGTGGCCTCACCAGCGGCCGTTGGGGAACTCGTCCCAGTCCTGGGTGCGGTAGATGTAACTCTTCGGTCTGGAGGCCCAGAAGATGGGACGCACATCTTCCTCCCGGCGCTTGGGGTGGGCGCTGACAGCCCAGGGCAGGGGACGCCTGGGTGAGATTGGGGACAGGACGGGACTGGCTCAGGTCCTCAGGGAGAGGACCCACTGAGCTGGGTCTTTCAATCTCACTTGTAAACATCAAGGTGCACACGGACCTCCCACGGAGGCTGGAACCCCGTGTGCCTCCAGCCACAGCACGGACAAGCCCTGCACCCGTGGCGTCCAGCCCTGCTAGGGCGCACTCTTGCTGTGACTCCTGTGACTTCCATCTGACTTCCCTGCCCACTGACTTCCCTCTGTGGCTCCCGGGCCTCAACTCGGGGCCCCTGGCCTCACCTGGGGTCCTCGGCCCACATGCCCAGGCGCTTCAGCACCTTGGTGGTGGCCTTCCTGCAGTTGAGGGTGTAGAAGTGCAGGCCCGGCACCAGGCCACTGGCCAGCAGTTCCTGGCACAGGCTCACGGCCTGGTCGATGCCGTAGTTGCGGATGGCTTCGTCGTTGTCCTTGATGGGCTCGATCACCTCCCTGATCTTCTGCGGCACCTCCAGCTTGGACAGCTTCACGAGCTGCCGCAGGGAGTGGTAGCCCTGCCGAGACACGGGGGGTGTGTCTCTCACCCTGCTTCTCCCCTTCTGTTCCCTACCAGGGACACGGGGGGTGTGTCTCTCACCCCGTCTCTCACCCTGCTTCTCCCCTTCTGTTCCCTACCAGGCCTCCGGGCCAACTGCAGTGTGACACAGACCCAGGAAAGTCAGACCACACTGTACAAGGACCCTTGCCTGGTCCTGCTTTTCCCAGTCTGCAGGGGACTCGGCTGCCCAGAGCATCCCTGCCGTCGGTCTGAGCCAGCCCTTTAGTCCCAGTGGTTCCCAAGCCTCCCGGGTCATCGGAATCACCCACAAGACTTAAGAAGTAAGGTACACATTCCCAGGCCCCACCTCAGACCTACTAAATCAGAACTTCTAGGCATGGGATCTGAAGTCCATCTTTTGAAAAAGCTTATCGAATGATTCTGATGACAGCCGAGTTTCGGAAACACTGATTTAATAAAAATTGAGGGTGAGAGTTATCATGATCCCTTGTAGCGACACTTGTCAGTAAGCCAAGTACAACAAGCCCCTCCGTCAGGTGCTGTTGCTGGGTTTGGGGGGGAAACTGGAGGTAACCCAAATGGGGTGGTGAGAGGACATCTGCCAGAGGCATCTGGCAGGAAATCCACTGAGCGTCCAAGAACCTGACCACGAACTGAGCGCCTGACCCCGGGCCCTGGCCTGTGGGAGGCCGGGGGTGGGAGGAGTCCGCCAGCCCGCCCGGGCCCCTCACCTGAATGGGGAAGATTCCGGGGAGGATGGGGCAGGTGATGCCTATCGCGGAACAAGCCTTAACAAAGTGGAAGAACGTGTCAGCCTCAAAGAAAAGCTGGGTGATGATGAAGTCGGCTCCCGCAGACACCTTCTCCTTCAAGTGCTTCAGGTCGTCCTCAAAGCTCTCGGCGTCGGGGTGGCCCTTGGGGTAACCTGTCAACGGGATGGCAGTCGGGAGAGGCTGGCTCCACCTGCTCCAGGTGAGGGAGGAAGAACCCAGGGAGCTGGCAACACAGCTCTCTGCCTCCAGGGTCCGGACTCGGACCTCCCAACACCACCGCATGGCCGGGTTGACACGGTGAGTAGCTGGGCTCACAGCTGATGTCCCCCTCACCCAGGAGGTGACGTCTGGCGAGCGGTGGCTTACAGCCACCCTCCCAGAAGTGGGAGCAGATTGCTCCAAAGCCCACACTGTCCTGCCTCATGTCCCTTGCAACCAGCCAGGTAAACCAGCCTGTGCTTGGTGGTCCTGGAGGAGAGAAAATGCCTCGCTCAGCAGTTGGGCAGCACTTGTACTGCACTAGACTCTACACATTGGATTAAAGCAGCGCTTTTAACATTAAAATTACTTAAAAAAAAAAAACAACCACCACACACACACAAAATAAAACATTGAAATCACTCAGAGGTCCAAGAAAGGGAAAAGCCAGCATGTTACATGAGGAAAAAGGGGAGAAAGCTCAGATGTTCTGCTTGAAGAAAAGAATGAAGAGCATATAGTAACTATTTCTAAGTGGCCAAAGGGCCGTCGTGGTCAAGTTCATATTCTCTGATGCTTCTCATGGCAGAACCAGGATCAGCCAGAGGCTGCCTGACAAGGGACCTAAACCAGCCTGTGCTTGGTGGCCCTGGAGGAGAGAAAATGCCCCGCTCAGCAGTTGGGCAGCACTTGTACTGCACTGGACTCTACACATTGAATTAAAGCAGCGCTTTTAACATTAAAATTACTAAAAAAAAAAACAAAAAACCCACCACACACACAAAAAAAATAAAACATTGAAATTACTCAGAGGTCCAAGAAAGGGAAAAGCCAGCATGTAACATGAGGAAAAAGGGGAGAAAGCTGAGATGTTCTGTTTGAAGAAAAGAATGAAGAGAATATAGTAACGATTTCTAAGTGGCCAAAGGGCCGTCATGGTCAAGTTCATATTCTCTGATGCTTCTCATGGCAGAACCAGGATCAGCCAGAGGCTGCCTGACAAGGGACCCAGCAGCCCCACTGAGCAGGGGGCTCCTGGGGTATGAGGACATGGGCGCAGCCGGGATACCCACATGCCAAGGACACACGACAGACTCGGAACTGCCTGGGAGGCGGGAGCGGGTGACCCTGGCTCCTCGCTGGCTCCAGGAACTCTCTGACCACTCGCCTAAAGGACCGAGCTCACTGAGCCCGGCCTGCACAGGAAGCCTGGCTCACTCAGCCAGGGCCGGGGGCAGGCCTCAGACCCAGGCTGGTGGGAAGCCAAGCTGCTCTGCACGTGGGGCCTGGGGTTAAACCCAAAGTCACCTACAACGAGTAATTTCCTTGCAGCCACATGGCTTATGTTTTAAAGTCTGGATCACTTTTGATATACTACTCCATAAAGTGGCTTTGTTTAATATAAAAAATTGTTTTAAAGCTGGATCACTTTTGATATACTACTCCATAAAGTGGCTTTGTTTAATATAAAAAATGAATTTCCCCAAAAGATTTGAGGGAAAATGTCATGTCAAGATGATGTACCAATGAATCCCCAGACCTCGCCACACCCAAGACCCTATTTGAGAAGCTGGAGGCCCGACCCTGTTAGTGGGATAGGAGGGAAGACCCCCCACCCGTTTCCAGCAGATAAACCTTGCCTCCTGGCTGCAGCCAATGGAACTAGAGTTCAGCTGATCTGATTCTCCTGAGAATGTGGAGTTGACATTGAAGCCTGTCAGTCAGTCTGGATTATTAGTGGAACTCCTGAGTGTGCAGCAAAGAGGCAGAGCTGGGGGTTCTGTGGCCCCAAAGAGATTGAGGGCCTTGGTTTCTTTAAAAAAAAATTTTTAAATATGTTTTCATTGCTTTTTAGAGGAAGGGAAAGGGAGAGAGAGAAACACCGGTATGAGAAAGAAACATCAACCTGTATGCCTCCCGTATGCACCCCGACCCGGATCGAACCCCAACCCAAGCATGTGCCCTGACCAGGTATGGAACCTGTGACCTTTTGTTGTACAGGACGACGCTCAACCAGCTGAGCCACACTGGCCAGCGGGGCCTTGGTTTCCGACTGCCTCCCGGCTCCAGCACCCAGTGAGGCCTGGTGCGGCTTCCTGACCTTGGGTTCTGCGATTCCCTGCCGCCTAATAAACACTCCTCTTTTGTGTTAAAGAAGAACAGGCCGGGAAGCAGGCTAAGGACATGAAAAGGCAGAGAAACAAAACCTTCGGGGTGGTGGTAGCCTGGGCGGAGAGCGGATGATAGAACGTTGAGTCAGGGCATTAACCCACCTCTGCCCCGCTCTCCTCTGGCACAGGCCCGCAATGCACGGGGTCACCACACCCTGAACTGACTACAGGTGAGCTCTCTGTGCCTGTCCCCACCCACTGGGACACTCCCGCCACTCACCTGCCACACAGATGTCAAAGTAGTCACCAAACTCGCTGCGGATGAGCTTCACCAGGTCTGTGGCGTAGCGGAAACAGCCTTCCTCCTCCTCCCACTGGTCACCTACAGGGTCTGCAGGGTTGGTGAAGGTCATGGTCACTGAGGCTCACTGATCTGCAGCTAGTTTTTCTGTGCCTTCTCCTTACCCCTCCACCCGGGACCATGAGCTCCTCAAAGGCAGAGCCCTGGTGCTATTCCAGTTGGTGTCTCCTCGTGCTAGCGTAGCACTTGGTAAGCAGTGGGAGGGAAGACAGTGCCCAGCCTGTCGGACATTTACCAAGCACTGACTCTGCGGGCACCGGGCTGGCAGTGTAGAGCAGGGGACAGCTGCTGCTCTCAGCTTAGCTTGGAGCATCTGAGACCCCCCGCCTCCCACTCAAACCTGGGTGCCTAGCCTCACCCAACCAACCCCACTGCTCGCTGTCCTACCCTCTTGGAGCTCTTCCCTCCTGGGAGAATCTTCTACTCATCTCAAGTGAGAAGTGGTCTTGTAGTGGGGAGCACAAGGCCGCACGACCCCACCCATCAGGCTACCTCTTCCCACACTGGCCAGAGGCACAAGCAGCTACTTTCACTCCCGGGACAAGTGCCAGAACCGCAGTCTTCATTGTGCCAAGAGCTGGGTGCAACCAGTGATCAATGAAGCTATGGAGCCAGGGCAGAGGGTTATCAGGCACCAGCTGCACTCCTGACTGAACGCCTACGTCAGGGTCAAGAGCTCAAGAGGTGGCTCCCACTGGGCAGGGCTCCACACCTCCTCTCAGTGCCAGGATGTTCTTCAGGCCCAGCCGCTTGGCCTTGTGCAGATGGCCCGTGATCTCCTCCTGGCTCTGACGGCAGCAGGTCATGTGCAGCACGGTCTCCAGGCCACAGTAGTTGACAGCAGCGCTGGCGATGGCCATGGAGGAGGTCTCCTTGTCCGAGCCAGGGTCTCCTGCTGGGTGCCAGGTCACATCTATGAAGAGGGGGCCACCTGCCCCCATCTGGTCAAACCTGTTGGGAATTTCTTTCTGAAGGGGGACTCCTGCGGGCACACCACCCTTCGCCACCTTTCGTGGGGTCCGGGACTTAGAGAAGCATCACAGGAGGCTGGGATCAGACTGACCCGCATTCATGTCCTGACTTTGCTACTTATTAGCTGTGTGACCTTGGGAAAATTAATCTCCTGTTCCTCATTTCTACAAGGTGACAGAGAACAGTACCTACTTCATAACTCTATGGGACTATTATGATAGATGGCTCCTCAGCTCTTAGAACAGTGCCTGGTACATGGTGAGCTGCTTTCATCAGGATTACTATTGTGGAGGTAATATATAACAATATAACCATGCTGTTCGAAAGCAGTACTGTAGACTTTCCAGTGCTGGCATATTTGTTATATTGGGTGAGATAAGTTGACTGGGCGAGGGTTGGAGAACGCTCAAGGCGGCAAGCAGGGCCTCATTCCAGGAACACGAGAGAAGAGGGTCAGCAGACACAAGTTTCTATCATGCTACCCCTCCCCCCGAGCCGGGTGCAGCAAGCAGTGCTGCAGAGCAAGGCCACAGTCCAGGAACCAGACTCAAGAGGCACGGGTGTGTGCACGCGCTGTGTCACAAGCTATTTAACGAGGCATTTAAACATCCTCGTGCCTTCAACTTCAAGCCTTGGGAGCTAAACATGAGAAGTGAAAGTGGTAAAAAGCACCAGCTTTTAAGAAAAGGAGCTGTGATTCATAAAGTGCTAACGTAATTCAGTTGGCATTTCTAGATTCCAAGAGGCACAACCCAAAAGCCTAACTTGTGGAAATGTTCTACGCGACGCTGCTTTGTGATTTCCTAAACTACACTCATGATCCAGCTTGACTTGCTGCCAAAGAATGCTGAGAGTCAACATGTTTAACCCGATGTGGAGTGTGTCTAACACTCCAGAGGCTTGGGGGGACTTTTTCTGACAACTGCGAAGCTGCAGGTCCAATGGCCGACCCTGCCTTTACTCTTCCGCCCCCTCTGGTGGCCTCTTTCTGCCGAGGCAAAGCGGCCCTTCTCTCCACCCGCCCCTCCTAACCTGACCCTGCTCCGTAACCTCACATCCACTCACCCTGAGATGAGATTGACAGCGCCCTGTGCCGTCCGAGGAGGGAAGAATTCCAGAGAGAACCACTTGTCACCGGACTCCATCCTCCGCCTCATCTTCTCCCTGAGTCTCTCGTGCCGCTCAGGGTCCAGCCCTGGCGAGGAACATCTCGAACTATCCTTGGGGCTCTCCATGCCGCTGCTGCTGCTGCCCTCCAGGCAGGGGTTGGGGCTGCCATTCCCTCTGGGTTCGTTCACCATGGCCGAGTTCCTGCTACATGAGATGGGGGCAGGGGGCGTCAGAAGCCGGCAGGCAGCCAAGCCCCAGAGAGGCAGGGTCAAGTGACAGTTGCTGCATTTCCACGCAGGGTCAGGGTGAGAAGGCCCCCGCCGGCTGGCTCACACGCCACAGCTACCACCCACTGCGCGGCCTCACTCAAAGCTTCTCCCCCTGCTGCTGCCCCCGACTCCGTGTATGACAGCCCCCTCCCGTACAGAAACATGCCCCTTCAGCCCTCGGATCCGCAGTGGCAGCTACCTGATGGAGGGTGGCACTGAGAACCTCATGATGCCAGCCTCCAGGGCCCGCATTCCTAGGGAGGGGCAGCAGTGCCTGGCTGGGAGGACCTCGGGTTTTAGATGGTCCATCTCTGCCAGCTTGGACCCAGACTGGGCTGGGAACAGGAAACTTCCCCTGCGGGTGTTTCTCTCATGGGCGGAGCAGTGACAGAGGAAGAGCTTAGAGCTACAGCTGGGACCTGCGTAAGGGAGAAGGAGGCGGGGGCAAGGCCTCCGGGCAGAGGGAGGGCTGAGGCTCCAGCTGTAGTAGGCAGATAGAAGGAGGGCCAGACACTGTGGGGGTTGGTGGAGCTGAGGCCAACAGACGTTCAGGGTCACTGGATCACTCTCCAAAGAAGAAATAGCTGATCCTGTCCTGCCTGGGACATCTCCTGTTGCTTGGAACAGTTTGTGTGCAGGATGGAGGAGGCGAGGGCTTGACAAAGCAGCCAGATTTCTCCTGAATTCTTGCTACTCCAAAAAGACTAGGTCATGCGTTAGAACTTGATAATTGGCTGGGTTCCAAAAGTAGCCAGAACCAAGTTCAGTGCGGGCTGAGGTTATGTCCAACTCAGAATAAAGGCTACCTGATGGAAGGAGACTTTGACTTGGGGTGATGAAGACAATACAAAGCACAGATGATGTATTATAGAACTGTACACCTGAAACCTGTATAACTTTACCTGCCAATGGTTACCCCAATAAATTTTAAAAAGTTTTTTTAAAAGAGCAAAGGCTGCCTTCCAGGTACACCCCCACTAACACACACCACTGAGGTCAGTTAAACTAATTATAGTGACTGCTCAGCCACACATCCCAAGCTCTGAGCCATGGCAACCACAGGCAGGCCAACAAAGGGCATGGTGCCAGTGGGCAGTTTAGTGGGAAAAATAAGTCAAATACTTAAAAACAAAACACTACTCTTGCACAACTATGTACAAATAGTCCTTAAAATCTAGTCCTTAAAATCAGAGGAACAATCAGGCCAAGTTCATTCCTTTCAGGGCACATCCACAGCTAAGCTGGTGTTCTTTTTTTTCTAATCCTATATAATAAAGAGGTAATATGCAAATTAACCCTCACGCCCTCACAAGATGGCCGCCTACAACCAGGCTGGCAGGGGGGTTAGTGAGGGATGACCAAATGACTGAACAAGCAGGCTGTGTGGGGCAACCAGGCCGGGGGGGGGGGCAGTTGGGGGCGACCAGGCCAGCAGACAGGGCAGCTGGGGGCGATCAGGCTGGCAGGGGGGGCAACTGGGGGCAATTAGGCTGGCAGAGGGGGGCAGTGAGGGGTGACTAGGGCGGCAGCGGGGGCAGTTGGGGGCAACCAGGCCGGCAGAGGGGGGCAGTTGGGGGTGACCAGGCCAGCAGGGGGGCAGTTGGGGGCGACCAGGCCAGCAGACAGGGCAGCTGGGGGCGATCAGGCTGGCAGGGGGGGCAACTGGGGGCAATTAGGCTGGCAGAGGGGGGCAGTGAGGGGTGACTAGGGCGGCAGCGGGGGCAGTTGGGGGCAACCAGGCCGGCAGAGGGGGGCAGTTGGGGGCGACCAGGTTGGCAGGGGGGGCAATAAGGGGTGACCAGGCCAGTGGGTGTGGGGGACAGTTAGGAGCGACCAGGCCAGCAGCGAGGGGCAGTTAGGGGTGACCAGGCTGGCAGCAGTGGCAGTTAGGGGTGGTCAGGTCGGCACGCAGAGGCAGTGAGGGGCAATCAGGCCAGCAGAGGAGGGCAGTTAGGGGCGACCAGGCAGGCAGGCAGGTGAGCGATTAGGAGCCAGTGGTCCAGTATTGTGAGAGGGATGTCCAACTGCCAGTTTAGGCCCAATCCCAGGGCTGGGGCTGGGGCTGGGGACATTAATAGTTGATTCATTTATATTTCCTACATGAAATAAATTTAATCTTTATGATTAATTTTTTTTTTTTGGTTGGCCGCAGGAGCTGCCCCCTGGTGGTCAGTGCGCTCCCAGACTGCAAGAGGGTGCAGGCTGGGCTGAGGGACTCCCCCCACTGCACCAAATTCATGCATGGGGCTTGGCCCTCGAAGCCATGGCCCTCACTGCCTTGGCTTCATCTGGAAAGTCATCCAGAAGGTCGTTCAGCTGTCTGGCCTAATTAGCATATTACGCTTTTATTATTATAGACTAGAGCAGGGGTCCTCAAACTTTTTAAACAGGGGGCCAGTTCACTGTCCCTCAGACGTTGGAGGGCCAGACTATAGTTTAAAAAAAAACTAGTCGGCTGCTAAGCAACAGGCAGTGGCAGCAAAAACACCCGTCGGGCGGGATAAATGTTTTCGGCGGGCTGCATGTGGCCCGCGGGCCGTCGTTTGAGGACCCCTGGACTAGAGGCTCAGCGTGCACGAAATCGTGAGCAGTTAGGGTCCCTAGGCCTAGCCTGGCCTCCGTCACATGGCCTCTGCTGCCCTGTGACACTACGTGAAGCTCCCTGCCCCAGGATGCTCCGCGATGCTCGCGGCCCCTTGACTGCTCCGTGAGGATCCCCCTGGCTCTTGACGGCTTCGCAAGCCCCGCAACTGCTCTGCAAAGCTTCGCCACTGGACGCTCCATGAAACTCCCCTGCCCCGCGACTGCTTTGCGAAACTCACTGCCGCCCGGGTGACTGCTCCCCTAAGCTCACAGCCAACCCACGAAGTACCCCGCCACCGCCGCTCAACAGGCCCCAGTCCCGCCCCACCGCCAGCCCCCCCTCATGGTGAGCTGCTTGGGTCGGGGGAGGGGGTACCAAGAGGTGCTCCATGCACTTCATGGTGACCAGTCACCCGTTCGGTCGTGACAGCACCTAGCTCTTTATATATATTAGGATATTTTTAAATGGATTTCAGAGAGGAAGAGAGGAGAGAGAAACATCAATGATGAGAATAATTGATCGGCTGCTTCCTGCATGCCCCACACTGGGGATTGAGCCTGTGACCAGGGTATGGGCCCTGATGAGAATTGAACTGTGACCTCCTGGTTCATAGGTCGTTGCTCAACCACTGAGCCACACCAGCTGGGCTAAGCTGGTGTTCTTAACCACTCTGGGATCCTAGAGTCTTGAGAAACTAATGAAATCCAGAGCTCCTCTCCCCTAAAACACAGAGGCGCCATCACGCACAGCGACACACCAAAAGTCAAGAAGTCAAGACCAGACTAAGAACACTTGTGCCAACATTTGCTCTCCCCAGGGATGCCCTGTTTTGGTTCTGACATAAAACTCCTGCTTCTCAGTGAGGGTGGCCATCGGGAGTGAGAAACAGGTAAGTGTGTCAAGATCTGCCTGGCTGGCCTTTCTGCTGGAACAAAGTCAAGAGAGGGGGAGGAGACGGAACCACCTACAAATTACCTGCTCTTTCATTGGTTCCATAAAAACTGACTGCGTTCCTAGTATGTGCCAGGCACAGCCCTTTCCACCTTCTTTCCCGTGCCTCTACTTACCCATTTCAAGCTGCGCTCCCGCAGCACCCTGGATTGTACTTGTGGGTTCACAGGTTTGTCTCCCCTCCTGCTGCCCCCCTGCCCCGCCCCCCAGTTCCAAGACCAGAGTGGGATCCTGCCTTTGACGGATATCCTGATATTCCTGTGACTGGCACAAGGTAATGCGACAGCCAGCCCTGAGCGCCAACAGGCCCGGCTCTGTCGCTCTGATCTCAGAATAGCCTTCTGCCATTTACTAAGCACTTAATCGGCGAGCGGTGGGGGCATATGGAGGCCACAACTGAGCGCAGCCCGACGCGATGGGCCCGGGGTGGGGGGTGGGGTGCCGGGGAGGCATGTGTGCCAGCGGCCCAGGGCAGGGAGTCAGGTTTAAATGGCTGGAGCCGCAAAAACACCTCCCGCGCCTAGGTGGCTCCGGAGCCGCCTCCTCCTCTGGTGTCTGGTGTCTGGGACTAAAAGAGAGTGTTTGCTTCAGGACTGGGGGTGGCTGGGGGTGACAGCCTTTGGGGGTTACACTCGTCCCGCGAAAGAAGCTCACAGAGGTGGCGGGAGCCCCCGCCTAGAGGGGCAGACCGGCCTCCACTGCCCCCCACACAAAGGTAAGTCACGGCCCCAGCTGGTGGCCCCCGATGCCAGGTCTGTGTACCCCGCGCCACGCCGTCACTCACCCTCCCGTAGCGGGCGCCGCA